TGGTTCTTGTTGCGTCATAGACAACGGGTCAAGGTTTTTACCTTTGGTTCTTGTTGCGACATAAACAACGGGTCAAGGTCCTATTATAAACCTGATTTAGCTTTCTTAGAGTTTAGAAATCCCTTGTCGTGCTGTAGGTCTCATTGTTCTCTTTGGGGTTCTTATCACGTTCCTTTGTGTCTTTCTGTTTCCTTTAACTCTTGCAAATTTGTTGGAGTTAGATTGCTACAAAATAACTTGAATTGAGCTATTTTAGTTCAATAATGAACTGAAAGAGGAAAGTTGAGTGAGGGAAAAAGGTAAGAAGTGTGAGCAACATTTGAGAGAAAAGCCAAGTTCTACAATGTGCGAAACACGAGTGTTAAGTGCCATTCTGTGAGAGAGTGGAGTGAAACACTGCCATTCTGTGCGAGAGTGGAGTGAAACATGTAAGGGAGTGTTGTGAGGTCCTTTTATTTTCTGTTTCTAACATTCCTTGCAGGTTTCAATCATGTCAAGCGGTGATGACAGAAAACACCAAGTGGATGAATCCTTTATGCTCAAAGCAATGCAACAACAATTTCAGAGGCTGGGCATCATGTTTGGTGAGATTAAAGACAAAATGGTGAAGCAAGATGCAGCGATTGTCAAGTTATACGAAACACAGAATGGAAGTCTGAATTTGCATAGGAATATGATGCTAATGATGATGTCGATGACGATTATAAAGATGCATTCAAAACTGACGCCCAGAACTCAAATTTCAGCATGGACAGAATTATGAGAGGTAGAGGGGGCCAAAGAGAGCAAAATTTGACAAGGTGGGGAGATCGGCAAGATCGTGACTTAAACATCAAGATGAAGATTCCTCCGTTTCAAGGCAAGAATGATCCAGATGTGTATTTGGAGTGGGAAAAGAAGGTGGAATTGGTGTTTGATTGCCATAACTATTCTGAGGAGAAAAAGGTGAAACTAGTAGCGGTGGAATTTATTGATTATGCTGTGGTGTGGTGGGATCAGCGTGTGCTTAGTCGACGTAAAAATCGAGAGCATCCTGTTGACACTTGGGAAGAGATGAAAGCTGTGATGAGAAAACGATTTGTTCCTAGTCACTACTTCCGTGATCTCTATCAACGATTGCAGGGCCTTACTCAAGGGTCCAAAAGCGTTGAGGATTATCACAAAGAGATGGAAATCACAATGGTTAGATCGAATGTGGAAGAGGACAGAGAAGCAACTATGGCACGGTTTCTGCATGGCTTAATTCATGATATAGCTAATGTGGTGGAGCTGCAGCATTATGTGGAATTGGAAGATATGGTGCATATGGCGATGAAAGTAGAACGGCAACTCAAGGGTAAAGGAGCCACCACCAAAAGTGGGCAAAATTCAGGTTTCTCATCTTTTTGGAAACTGAATTGGAGCAAAAAGGAAGAAAATTCTGTTTTTAAGCCTAAAACTGCAGCATCTAAGTCAAAAGAAGTTCGCAGCAATGAGAAGAGTAAAACAGATAATACGCAAGGCATAAACCGAGACATCAAGAGTTTTCGATACTTGGGAAGGGGGCATGTTGCATCACAATGTCCTAATAAGCACCCGATGATCTTGAGAGAAGATGGAGAAATTGAAACTGAGGGTGAATCTGATGATGAATCTATGCCACCATT